GTGAGATACACTCACTTGGCACAAATTTAGATTGCCAAAAATGACCTTTATGTACAAACCCTCCATATGTTATAACCAGCATATATATCTCCTCCCACCTTCGTTGGGCCAAACAAGCCCTAACTAATCTCTTTATCTACCTGCAATTTGTTTCAGCTCTGCCCATAATTAATTCTCAATTGAGAAAGCTAAAATCCCAACCCATCTCACTGCAACGGTTTGGTTACGATAGTCTCCTCTTTGGCAATCAGATAGTGCGATCGTCATTGTTGCAAGTATTGGAGAAATCGCTCCGTCTCTAAAACCCTTTATTCGATAAGGATTAGTGCGGGGTTGGGTTTGTCACCGAATTATCTGATGAAAGCAGCTGGAAAATAGTGGGCTTTTGGTTATTTTTGGGTTTGATTTTTTGGATTGTGATTGGTTGAATTGTTGGTGACTGATGCATTTGAAGTTATATGCTCATATGTTTATATTGTGATTGGTTGTATTGCTGGCCATGGATATATGTAATTGCTATGGAGTATTGTAGGTGATTGATTTGTATTGCGGTCTTGTACGTGACGGATGATTCGATTGAGTTCATATTATTATATTCAAAACTAGTAGGTGACGGATGATTCAATTGAGTTCATATTGCTCGTTATTGTGTATCATATTCAAAACTAACAATTAATTAAGGTTTTAGGCTTTGCTTAGTTCACTAGGATAAGAAATCAGGAAATGAACAACACAACAAACTGGCACAAAATAACCATACTTGAATATATATGTATGTGTACCAACTGAAGTTGGATAGCACAAAAAAGGATGTCATTTAATTTAAGGACAAATTAGTAATTTCAACTTTCTGTTAACAATTGTTTAACGTGTACTTAAGTGGGGTTTTTTGCAACTGCCTCATAATTCAGGGAGGTATGTTTTAAATCAGGGGGTTTGTTGCAATTGCCTCATAGTTCAGGAGGGTTTAATACACTTAATCCATTATTTTATAGTTTGTGATCCGTTAAGTCTCCTTTTGCCGTTAAGTTACTATTCTGTATTATTTAATTATGGTATATTTAACACATTAAACAATACAAAACTACAAACAAAATGGGCTCATTTTGGTGCTTCGATGTAATGACCCTGTCATTTTACGTCCTTTCTTTTTTCGGAAATTATCTTTTTTCGTCTTTTCCTTATTTCGTCCTCTTCTCGTTTTTCACTTTTACTTGCATAACCTCATTTTTTGTACTCGGATTTGATTCTGGTTTTGCATACGTCCATGATATTTAAATTCCATGACATCTACATTTTTACTTTTGAAGAAATGCATATTAAATGCTTACTTTCTTTGTAAAATGTATGAAAATAAGACTTTTTGTAATTATCTATAACTTGAGGGGTTTTTGGGTAATTAAGTAAAGTAATTATTTTTCGTCCTAGGGACCATTTTGCAAATTAATTTGGAAGATATTTTCAAAAAGGACCTTTTTGCAATTTCCGAAAAATGTGACAAGTGTCACATTCCTATGGTGCCACTTGTTGATTTTGTGGTGAAACTACTTGGAGGCTTAATCTCATGACACATGGAGGGTGGAGATTCACCCACTTGTTGTCCTAGGATTGGTGCACTTGTTGGCATGGATGGTTGACAAGTGTAGGGTTAATATTTAATCTTGGAAGCTTACTTGGATTCATGACAAGTGTAGGACTCACGTTTAGTCTTGCATTAGTGTGTGTGTGAGAGGTAGTACAAGAGCACCTAGTGAGTGGAGAAGCCCACCAAATTAGCTTAGGGTTTACACATTTTAATTCATTCATCACTTTCCTCTCAAGAACCCTAAGGAAGCCACCATTGGAGAAAAGCTTGACTAGTAGCTTTGACTTCATTTTTGGTGCCCTTTCACTCACCTTAGAACTTTGAACTTGGAATACTTTAGGTTCCTCCCACTCCCCTCTACAAAACCCTTGTTTGGTTTTTCATTTTTAAGCTTGGTTTCCTGGATTCAAGAGGAACAATCCTCTTGTGAGGTAGGGGGTGTTATCATTTATCTTCCAAGTGATTTTATTTGTTCCTATAGTGATATCTAAGTTATACGTTTGTCTTGTATTAAAATGAGAAATAAATGATTAATTGTAACTTGAATGTAATTCACTTTAGACTTGATAAATAACATGACCATGGCTTGATTCATAACATATGTTAATTTGAGGTCATTTAGAGTCGTTTTAAAAATCTAGAGGGATTAATGAATTAATTTAATTAATTTTTATTTATATGCTCCAATGACTTAAATCAAGTTTTGAAGTGATTTATATAATAACCATGACATATATTACAACATATATTAAATTGAGCATGTTTAGATGAGAAGTGAAATCTAGGGAATTTAGTTGTTTTATTTAATTGTTCAAATTATGATTTTAAACTTATATCATACTTGTGAGGCTTTGTTCTTCTTGTTGAATGATATTGTTGTAATTAGTGGCAAATTGCATAATGATTATTCAATATTCTTCATGCCATTTTAGTTGAGAACTTAGGGCATGTATTGTGTTTCCAAAATTGATTTGTGCATGTTGATGGCTTTACATTGTATATATATATGTTATGTTGATACATATATGTAATGTGCACAAAATGTTGACTTTGGAAACTTGGGGATGTCGTTGTTATGACTATGGCTAGGGCATGGTTCTAGTACGGGAGAAAGTCCCTCTACAAGTCTAGTGCGCACATAGGGAGGTTACCCATGGGCTAGTAACCCTAAAGTAATCACATTGTCAGTTTGATCCAGCGTGACGTCCAAATATCCACTTTGGTTTGATTTCGCATTCAAATTCCATGTTGTTAACCTTGTGAAATTACATCTCATTGTGTTATGTTAAAAGTTCTATTGTCACTTGATAGCATGAATAAAATGGTATTGGATTATAACTTGGTACAAAGATAAACCCATGCATTCCCTACGAGTAAACTTGTTTACTCACCCCTAAGTTAATGGGTATTTTGCAGGTAAAGAAGCCTTAGTGTGGGACGCACAGCATTCTTAGACTTACTAGAGTTCTTGAAGTATTTTTGATGACATAGAATATGCATATGTTAGCATATCTTATCCTACTTTGCTTATTTTGATAAAACTTGTACTTATTGTCTAAGTTACGTAATATGCACTTAAGTGCACCTTTTGACACTCTTAGAATACGTATGTAATGAGGCCAATGGCCAAGGACACATATATGCCATGTATGCTACTTTATCTTTATAGTTTGTATGTGGAACTTAATGGATTTCATCCATTGAAGAGTCATATTTTGCATATGACATCCCATGAGGCCGTAGGCTATTGTAGCACGTCTATTTCATCATAATACATTTGCGTGCATGCTCACTTGGGCAAAATTCACACCATTTCATGAAATGAACTTCCTTTGGACATTTTTTGACATTTTAAATTACAAATCTGATGTGAGGGCATTTTAGGGATTTTACCTTGACAAATTAATTCCGTTCTTCACATGGTCACTTAGAAAATGTGATTTTAGGGGAGGTTTCTTCTTCGTGTTTTTACAGAAAATGCCATCTTGGCATCGGAAATTGCATCTGAAGTTCAGCTCTCAGTTTTTAAATTTAGCAGCTTTTTGGACCCTCTAGACCAGTTTTCTTGGGAGGGCATTTTGGGCATTTCACATTGCATATTTTTCAATTTTTCTAAATAGTTATGTAGAAAACTCAATTTTGAGGAGGGTTTCTTTTTTGAGTTTTTCCAGAAAATGTCATCTTGACCCTCAAATTTTAATTTTTCCCGGGAAAACTCCTACTGCCAGGGTTTCTTGCTACCCATTTTGCCGCCTTCACATCTAAACGGTTACAAGGGGTTTCATAACTGGTTAGATGAGTATGGGCAGTGTATTTCTCGTGAATTTTGGCCTCCTAACTGGTTAGGAAGGTCTCCTAACCGGTTAGATATTCATGGGTTGCCTCTTTTGGACCGTTTTACCCCTTCTTCTTCCGTTAGCCATATCTTCTTCATCCGGACTCTGAATCAAGTGATTCTTGAGTTTAAATTCATTAATTTTTCATTGTCTTTCCAATGGTGTGCTCGGTGGTACCCACTTTTAAGCTAAAAATGACGATTTTGCCCCTAGGTTCATTCTTGTTCGTTTTTGAAACGTTGCTTCCACATTTGATTCCTTTGGGTTCCGTGACCTCGTTAAGGGTCATAGTGGTGTCTTAGAGCCATGTAGTATCTCTAGAGACCGTTGTTTTGTCTTTTGCTTCCGCATTTTGGATCCGTTATCGGGTCATCTTTCGATTCATCACTGACGCACCGGGTTAAAAAACTTGGGCCGTCACATTCGATCCCTGTTACTGTCGGCCATTACCCCCACTACCTTGCTCAAGCAAACAGTAATAAGAATGGCAATTTCCTCTGTTGTTGGGGGCAAAGTGACAACTTTATAACTGTTAGGATTTTTACAAACAAATTGGAGTTTTATGATAAAAAAAATGATAGTTCTGGGGTTTTATGATTTTAAGCCCTTTAAAAATTAAAACCGCTTATTTATCAACCCAATTTGAGCACATTGGGTTAGGTTTTCTATTTTTTTACTACATAGTAAAAGGGACATAACCCAATGGTATATTAATTACAAACCTGTCAAGAAATTAGGACGAAATTGATATGATTAATTTTCTAACAGAGCGGAATAGATCTTTAATCAAACCCATCCTAACTCCGCCATGTTGCCATCCCTAAGGTACGGAACAATTAAGAGGTTGGATCTCTAACTCTCTCGCACTCACACACTCACGAAATGATTTTTGAACGTATGGCTTTTGCCTCCCATTGACTTGTCAAAAGGAAAATATTCATGCAAGCCTAGGTGGGTATAAATTTGGCGGCATATTATCTCAACCACCTCACCAGCGGCCAACCTAATAGATGGCAGGCACCAAGATTACTGACACGCGGACAGTGCAACCCTTCTTGCCTAATCAACAACGGCCGACCACTGAATCTTTAATTTGCAGAGTGAAAGAATTCCTTAGATCCAAATGACCACATCCATGACAAAAACCAAATTACAAGTAACCACAACATCTGCAACAGCATGAAAATGTACAAACAAATAAAGCATTCAGAGGACAAATTTAATTAACAATGACCTCCACAAATCCCCACGAATTCTCGTCTTACATATATCTTGATAAACTCCTCCACAAGTTGTAAAAGGACAAATTTGCTTCTTTTCACATCAGAAACAATTACCACCAACCCGTTTTCTCTTTGTAGTAGTATTTATCATCCTTCCTTCAATTTATACTGACCGATAGCTTTCTAGGACTGCAATGGCACCTCTTCATCAGGTAAAACCATAGTTAAGAGTGAGTACTTGACACGCAGTGATATCTTCCCCCTATCAACATTCAGTCTTGCCCCAGAAACGACCCAATACCCGGGTGGGTCCTGTGGTCCCCTTGTCATCTCTGTCGTATCAATAAACCTAAGAAGTTTAGGCGTCTGTGCTGGCACCGGTGGGCCGCCCGGGTATACAGCAGAATTGATGTTCACATCAGCTGGCTGTGGCGCGGGTTTCTGGCTCGTTGAAAGATGTGAGCTGATCAAGGTGGAGATAAGTCCAGATTTTTGGGTCACGACGGGAGAACCATCCCATTCAGGTCTCTTCACTGCTATGGCACCAGTAACTTTGGAGAATTGAAGGCCTAAGAAGAGAACTTTTCTCAGACCAGACTCCCTGACTTCAAATTGGGCCCCAGTAACAATGGACAGATCCTCATCTGATTCGACAGGGGCAGTGCATACATGAGAAAAGCTCTTCCAATGGACGTTTTCATAGTACCTGCGGTCATAAGAGTTACGGGAGTTTCCATTTAGTTCATCCTGAAGTTGGAAGCTTTTAGGTAGAGAGGAAAGGTGCTGCAAATGGATAGCAAAGCAGTTGCTTCTTTTTCCCTCCAAGTAAAGTCGAAGTCCAGTAACCGGCCTCTTACCCACATCTACCTGTCAAGGAATTAATAATTAGAATAATATAATAATCATATGAAACTTCTTTGCTTTGGACATGCATCTCTCTAGTTGATGTAGTAAAGCAAGAAGCTGTGGTGGAAATTGTGTACGCCTATACACACACACACACGGGTAGCTGCATAATCTCAAGATTTTATACAAAATCACACATTTTTTATGAGATTATGCATTTTTTAAACAATATAACCTGCAATACTGTTTCTGGTTAAGCAGAACCATGTTGTAACAAAATCTAAATCCTGTTGATCCTTACGACAGGCCAGATCTAACAGAGATTAAAACGCATTTGCTAATCTACAAGGAAAAATAGGATGGTCTAGCAGTCTGGCACAGAACTAATACATTACCAAACCAAAATTTTAGGGTTTTTGAAATGAAAAAGGGCTCAGGGTTTGTTTGAAAGAAAAGACAAGAAGTGTGCTGGGAGGGTGTGGAGTGTTTCCACTTATATCAATCAGCTCAACAGCTCAAGGAACTTGCCTCGAGTCAGAATGTTATTTTAAACCAAGCAGGTGGAAACCTATAGAAAACGTCCCTTTTTTTCCCCAGTAAATACTAAACACTTCTCTTCAATCAACCACATTACTTTCATCTTCACTCCTGATCGGAGAATTTTAACTTTAAGGAAGAAGACCAACAAAGATCTCAAAACTCAAGAATGGTAAAACCCGTAAGCATTAAGACTAGAGAGTTCAAATATGATCCATGAATATCATTTCATCTCTTCTTCATCAAGGAACATATTACCCCCATCAGAAAAGAACTAAACATGCTTAGTCCCTTGGGAGCATTACCGGAATTGTGTTCACATAGAGCTTGGGACCCATAAAGCTGAACTGTAAAGATGCATGAGGAGGCCCAGGACGACATGGGCCGGATCTGACTTGCAAGCACGACATCCGGTCCGTATAGCTGGGCCGGCCCATAAAAAGACACTGCCATATGGGCCGAACGCGAATAAGCCCATCAAAGGTGACCAGGACTTATGGAGGAACAGGCCCAGATCCAGCAATCCGTCAATATTTGTAAATATCTTGTAAATATCTATAAATAGGAGAAGGAATGGAAAGAATGAGGGAGATCTTTTTGTTGAAATGTAAGAATTCTAGAGAGAGAAAGAGAGAGTGAATTTATTGCATCTTCAATTGGCGCCGTCTGTGGGAATCGCATGGAAGTTTGGTTGATCAATGAGGAATATCGAGTGGATTCAGACCAATTCGGTTGATCGAGACTCGATCTTTGGGATTTGGATCCAGATCTGAGCGATTGTGACCTACTCTGGAGGAATTACAGTTCTTGAAGTTTTGGCAGAAGTGGCTTCAGATCTACGTAACAACGAGTTGTTCGATTGTGGCAGGATCTGACGGATTTAGAGTTCAGACAATTTAGATCTCGTAAACGGTGAGCATAATTCGGAGAATTCGAAACCAGATCTGAAAAATTCCCACTCACGAAGCTCGGATCTACTCGCGAACTTGAGATTAATGCCTTTACTCTGTTCAGGAATAATGATAGGTGAAAGCTCCAATCCGATGGAGGCTGTCCAGCAAACAAAGCTTGAGGAGTTGATGAACTTGATTGAAGCTCTCAAAAAAGAGAATGCAGAATTGAAAGCTGGAATGCAACATCGGCAAATACCTGCGGTTTCGCATCCACTTCCGGTCGGTGAAGGAGGTGTTCAATCTAATATCGCGCGTCAAGGCGAGCAGGACGAGAACAATCAGTCAGCTCACCACCGTGATGAAAGGATGATGGACAATTTACCGCCAAATGTTCGTCGAGTTGAGGATCACGAAGGATCGACTCACGTTGATCCGCGACATGAGCAGATTAGACGGAATGAAGCCATAACCTTCGATCCGCATCGGGAAAGGTTCGACCGAGAGGAAGTGATAGAGGTTGATCGCCGTCGAGTAGCGTCGCCTTGGCAAAGAGAGTTCATAGAGGAACGGTCGTTCGATCCGTCTTACCGGCCCTCCATGGCTACTATCACTCATCGCGGTTCGGAGGGCAGAACCGTAACTCACAGAGCTACCGCTGGACTCCAGAGAGAGAATGAAGCTCTCCGATCCGCAGCTCGGACGGTTGATTCACCATTCACCGACGAGATCTTGAATGCCCCGCATCCAAGGAAATTTGCTATGCCAGTCTTTATTCTGTTTGACGGAACAACCGATCCGATCGATCATGTGTACCATATCCAGTTGAAAATGGCCCTGAATACGGAAAACGACTCTTTAATGTGCAAATGTTTCCCTACAAGCCTAGCCGGACCGGCGCTCAGCTGGTTCAAAAACTTGCCTAGGAGCTCCATTGGTAGCTTCAGAAACCTGTGCGATCGGTTCATAAGCCAGTACTATGGGAACAAGCGCCCGCCGAAGGACATCTCGAGCCTATTCACGATGAGGCAGCACAAAGATGAACGTCTCCAGGCTTTTCTTACCAGGTTTAATCTCACTAAGAGTATGGTGATCGAATGCCACCCTTCTACAGCAGTTCAAGCCTTCAAGTTAGCCATGACACGTGGAACTCCGTTTCACACCAGTCTGGTAGTGAACACGCCGACTACTATGGATGAACTCAATGAAAGAGCCGATGGCTTTGTGCGCCTAGAAGAAGAGGAGGCAGCTAATGCTCGGACAGCATCGCTCGTGTCGACCGAGGAAAAGTCCAAGGCAAAGATCAGGCAGAAGCAGGCTCAGCCGCAACGTCAGACCTCTTGGAAGGCAGAAAAAAGGTCCAGGGAGGAAGAGCTGATTACTCCGCTGAAGGTCACTCTGGCGAGGCTGTATCAGGAGAACAAAGATAAGTTTCATCCACCACTGCCAATTAGGCAACCCCTCGAATAGAGGGATCAGACTAAACATTGTGCTTTCCATTCCGATTTCGGTCATCAGACTAACGAATGCAGGAACCTGAGGAGGCAAGTGGAGATGTTGATAGCTAGAGGGGAGTTCGCGAGTTATGTTCAAGGCTCGGCGATAGAGCAGAATCGACCGGTGGAACAAATAAAAAGGAGTCATAAACAAAGCTCCCACAATTCACAACCAGTTCGTATAATCAATGCTATCCATGGTCGACCCGAGCCTAGTGAAGAGTCAGAGGAGCTACTCCGGGCGCGCCTGCGGCAGGCGCAGATGAAGAAAAGGGTCAACAGTGTGAAACCTCTACACCAGCAGAGCCCGTCGATGCAGATAAAGTTCTACTGGACAGACCTGCAGCGTGTTCAACTGCCCCATGAAGACCCGTTGGTAGTCAGTTTGACAATGGCGGACTGCTTGGTGCGCAGAGTTCTGATCGATCCTGGGAGCAGTGCGAATGTCATGCCGAGGGACACATTTGATAGGCTCGAGATTAAACCAGAGAGGCTCAAGCCCACTGGAAATCCCTTGTTAGGGTTCGATGGGAAGAGGGTGGAGCCCGTCGGGATGGTGGAAGTAGAAGTTCAAGCTGCAGAACGAGCTCTTATGGAAACTTTTGTGGTTGTAGAAATTCACCCCTCGTATAATCTCCTGATAGGAAGAGGATGGATTCACAGAGTCCAAGGTGTACCCTCAACTCTGCATCAGGTCATGAGGTGCCTCGGACCCGATGGAGATAAAGTGATAGACATTCGGGGGGATCAGGTTGCAGCCAAAGAGTGTTATTCCGTCACACTAAAGTATGCTGGGAAAGGGAAGGCGCCCGTCCGTTCGGCAAGCCCCAGATAGCAATTACAGGAACCTCCGCCCGAGCAGAACAGGGTGGAGGAGTCAGTCGACTTGACCGAAGAGCCCCTTCTGGATGTGCAGATCGATCAGTCCAGGCCAGAACGAACTACCAGAGTAGGTATAAGACTGACCAGAGAAGAGCAGCAAGAGCTAGTGGATTTCTTGTCCCACAATGCCGACGTATTTGCATGGAGTCACCTAGACATGCCTGGAATTAGTCCCTCCGTATCCTGTCATTCCCTGAATGTCAATCCCAATTTCAAACCAGTGAAACAGAAGCAGCGAAGATTTGCTCCAGAACGTAATCAAATCATAGCGGAAGAAGTTGATAGGCTGCTTGATGCGGGATTTATCAGAGAAGTGCACTACCCTGATTGGTTGTCCAACGTCGTTGTCGTGCAGAAGAAGAATGGGAAATGGCGAGTATGCATTGATTTCACCAATTTGAACAAAGCCTGTCCGAAGGACAGCTTCCCGCTGCCTAAGATTGATTAAATGGTGGATGCCACCACCGGGTATGAGCGTTTAACCTTTATGGACGCTTATTCAGGTTATAATCAGATCCCTATGGACCACGCAGATGAAGAAAAAACTTCTTTTGTCACCGAGCGAGGAACATACTGCTACAAAGTTATGCCTTTCGGACTAAAGAGTGCGGGAGCAACTTATCAAAGACTTGTTAGCAAAATTTTTAAGAATCAAATGGGAAAGATTGTGGAAGCCTATATTGATGATATGGTGGTAAAGAGTAGGAAGAAGGATGATCATCTGAAGCATCTGCAAGATGTATTTGATGTACTGAAGCGATATGGGATGAGGCTCAATCCAACCAAGTGCTCGTTCGGTGTGAGTTCCGGACAGTTTCTGGGACACGTGGTTAACCGCAGAGGCATCGAAGTTAGCCCCGCTCAAGCAGAGGCTTTGATTAAGAATGCCGAGCCAAAGACGATCAGAGAGGTGCAAGCCCTCACAGGACGAATAGCTGCATTAAGTCGATTTATTTCAAAATTGTCAGATCACTGCAAGCCGTTCTTTGACACGATTCGGAGCCATGGAAGGCAGGTCTGGGGGGATGAGCAACGACAAGCATTGACTCATTTGAAGGAATATATGCAGAATCCACCAGTCCTGTCAGCCCCAGATCCGGAAGAAAAGTTATTTCTATATCTTGGAGTATCTGGTGTCGCGACAAGTGCCGTTCTGGTTCGTTGCAAGGAAGGGGTGCAATACCCGGTATTTTATGTAAGCAAAACAATGACAGAGGCAGAACAAAGATACTCAAAGGCCGAACGGGTGATACTTGCACTTGTAAATGCAAAAAGAAAGTTGAGGCATTATTTCGAATCCCACCCCATAGCTGTTCTAACAACTTTTCCAATCAGAACGCTTATGCACAAGCCAGAGCTCTCGGGCAGAATGACAAAGTGGGCCATAGAGTTGAGTTCATTTGACATAACGTATGAGCCGAGAACAGCTGTCAAAGGGCAAGCGGTGGCCGATTTCCTGCTAGAATGTGATTCCGAGGATACGGAAGAAGACCTTAGATGCGGCTCTTGGAAACTTTTTGTGGATGGCTCCTCTAACCAGATGGGGGCTGGAATTGGGATCAAACTGCAAACCCCAGAGGGTACTTCCTTGAGTCAAGCACTCAGACTTGAGTTCCGAGTCACCAATAATGAAGCGGAATACGAGGCGTTGCTAAATGGGTTAAAGTTGGCCAGAGAGCTACAGATCAAAAGTTTGACTGTGTATAGTGACTCGCAGTTGATTGTTCGGCAGGTAAATGGTGAGTACGCGACCAACGATGACACGATGGGGGCATATCGTTCTGCCGTTCTGCATAAAGCCAAGGACTTTGCAAAGATTGAATTCATACAGTTACCGAGGGAACAGAATGCAGATGCGGACCGGTTAGCATGTAGTGCTTCGAGTTCCGGTGAAACATTGGCGAGGGTGATTCCAGTAGGAATACTGACCCAGCCATCTATTTTCGAAAAACCCTTGGACTCTGACCCTTGGCAAGTCAACGTCATACCGTATGAACCGAGTTGGATTGACCCCATCATCACTTATATTCGAGATGGCATTTTGCCTATGCAGAGGGATGAAGCTAGGAAACTCAAAAAGAATGCT